GCCCTGCCCTGCCCGCAGCCTCTCCTCGCAGGCAGGAGTGGTCGTCTGCGCCCAGGCAGGGCAGGTCCTTGGGCAGAGGTGTTACTGTTTTTCCTCTCAGATCGGATACTCGCATTTTCAATTCTGCCGTCGCGTTAGTAGAACCCAGTGAAAACGTAACTGGGGGATAATAGAGAAGTTTGGCAATGTGTGGAGACTTGTTTACCAGGTTGAAGTGGATTAGGGCAGGTGGTTGGCTGAAGGCATAAGAACATGTCGTCAGCAGCGTGGCACTCGGTCTTCTGAAGATGTAGAATATACCCCGAAATACTTGGGTAAATGTGTAAATACTGCAGGAGTTGATTTCCTTTCTTCATCAAACCACTGTAACAACTCCTACTATGTGTTTTCTGACAGAAATGGGTATTGGCATTAAATATTTTTTCAGCTGGTTATACTAAGCAGCACTCTGACAAGGCACAAGTGGATGCCTCGGTTCCCACTGTCTGCAAGTCATCTCGATTTTATTTTTCCCACCTAGGTTCTAAAAAGTACTGTATGAAAACCACCTTTCAGTGATGAAGTGTGACTTCATCATATTCTAGTGTGTGTCATAGTATTTTTTTTTTTGTGTGCCATGAGTAATGCTTTTCGTATGGATGCTGGCTTTTCTGTAACAAAGCAGTATTTGAATACAGGTCAAGGTTAATTTGAAGATTGGTAGGCAACCCAAAGTTTGTATTGCATAAGGAGTCATGAGACCTTAAGATAGAAAGTAGGGGGGACTTATTTGAATTTTAAAGTGACTCGTATAAGGTACAAAGTATCAGTAATGCCTGGAAGTATGTACTTTGATGTATGGTGTTTATAACAGCTGTGACTAAAATTCTCCTGGCTTTGTTTCCCTTCTTTCTGTCACGGCAGGTTAGTGCTGTAATGAACTATGCATGCAGATTCGACAGTTCTTATCTTTTGAGGTTTTCACTGCATGCAGCTTCCAACCCTATGAAAATATAGGCATCAAACAAACTCAAGGCCAAAAGCAGTATGAAAATTCTTCTTAAAAGTACTCTCCCTTCACACTTGTTTTGTGTGCCACATCCTGAAACTAAAGTTAATATATCTTACCATTTAAACAAAAAAAAAAGTTTGTACTTCTAACGCTAATGTTAGAAAAAACTTTTCAGAAATTCTGCCTACACAAAAGGGACTGTACAGCCACAAATCTGTTAGATTTTTTGAAAGGTTTAGTTTCAAGAAGTTGTGGATTTAGTTATTACTTCTAATAGACTTAAATGTTAGCATTATAGGAGAAGTGGATTTTAGACAACAGGATACCCTTTTGGTTTGAGAAGGGCTATATTACCTCTACAAACCTTTATTCTTTGTTGCATGCATAGCTTACAAATAATATGCAAATGTTTTTTTTTCTACCCTTGAGGTAATCGCATGGAAGGTATTATAAAGGCATATCAAAATCAAAAGGACTCAAAAGGTTTCCTTAAGACTAAAGTTTCACTTTTTTTTTTCCTTCTTTTACCAAGCTCTTGCAAGGACTTTGTAGAGGAGAGGGTCATAGGTGTACGTATAAGCATTATAGTCCTACTGCTGTGTTGTTAAACCTACTGGACTGCTTAGAATTTATGAAGTACTCCAGGATAAACAGGGCTCTGATTCATCATAACTTTTATGTTTCTCAATGGACTGAGTAAAACTTGATTGCTGCTTCAAGATGACATAAGTATTAGTGACTTTAAAAACCTCACTGCCTGGACTGGCAGGGTCTCAAGAGCTATGTTTCATGTTAGAAAAAGAGTTACCAGAATCCAGTCCCCAAGTTTGCTTTTCTTAGAATTACAGTAGTCAGAATTCATAAATGGTGCTGAAGCTGTACACAAGGTTTTTGTGTCACAGGCTGCCTTAGAGTGAGGATGGAGTGGAAGTCTCCAAGCGTACGTAGAAAACATGGGAAGGATGGAAATGTCTGTAACGAATGAGAACACAAGGAGATTGGAGAGGAAAATGCAGAAGCTTAGGATGCCATGGGTAGGATCTGTTCTTTTTTATCACATTACAATGAGCTTGCCCATCTTAAATGAGTGTGGCAGTGTCATCGATATGAAAAAGGTCAATGAATTTATGATTAGAAAAACTAATACATTGGGCTTTATCTGTGAGAAACTTGAAGGTTCTAATCAGCAAAACTAATGAAAAGAAAAATGTTGGCATTGCTAGAAGCTGGATTTAAAAGAAGAAAAAAGTAATTCTTCCCAAGCAAACTCTGAAAAAATTTCTGGACCAAAATGTTCAGTTAAAACATGTTGTGTGAGCATTTTATAGGCTCATCTGCAGACTGTACTGTGTTCTAAGAAAGGGCTCTTCAAATCGGAGGCTTAGAATGGGTTGCTTGCAGCTTTCATACCTCAGCACAGAAAATATGTCAGTATAATGACCTGATAATATAATTACATTAATTTGTTTTGGGTGGATATCTTGAAGTAGAATATTTTAAGCTTACTAGACTGAATCATGAACTGGATGAATGAGCTTATTCCTAAAGTTCCTTGAATATCACGGTGTCTTTCCACTTACTTTAATATAGGAAATTACAAGTGAACTTTTTGAATTAGAATTTAATGGCAGTTTAAGCAGCTTCTAGATTCAGATGATGACATAAACATAATAAAGCATACATATTTAAGGGTGCTAAATCATATGGGGGCCTGTATGTTAGGCTATCATTTTAAGAAGTTGACCTCTTAGACTGACTCAGGATGGGATAACTTCCTGTGCAGTCTGACAAGGTGATTTCTCAAAGTGACCAGTGAAATTGTTTTCTTTGGGTCATATAAAACTGAGCAAAACATAAGGTAGGATGCATATGATGCATAAGCAGTGGAAAGAATTCTGAGAACAGTTTCTACTCTTGCATATTTCCCTTGACAAACTATAGATAACATTTTGACTCAAGCAGATGTTCCTTTGACTTAAGAATACTTTAAATAAACCTATTAAAAATATAAAAACAATACTTAAATAAAGCTCTGGTAATTTTCCTGTGAGTTTCTGAACATAATGCTCCTGCTTGTAACTGTATATATATTGTCTTTTTTAAAAGTTTGTACTAATTATAGTGCAGGTTAGGATTTTGGGCATCCCAGAGGAGTTGAATTTATGCTTATAGCTTCATGCTAATGAAGTGGTGAATGAAGAATAAAGAACCTGGATATTTTGGGAATTCAAGCCAGCTAGTGTAATATGTGTTGCATATTAGTAAGAACATATTGGAAATGCAGTTATCCTGTCAAATGTCTTTTATGTGGTTACTCTTGATACCCGAGTTAAACAAAGGCATGTACAATTCTCCCTGTATACTCTACCTCATCCAGAACTCGGGGTGTAGATGTGAATAATTGTTCTTTCCCCTGCCTTTGAGTTGTCTCTTGGAGAGGGGGGAAAAAAAAAGCAAAGCCCTGGAGGCTAGTCCAGTTAAGTATAATCTTCTAAGAGATACAGGTGGGAATTTTGCCTGTTTACAGTAATTAAAACACTTAGAACTTAGATTGTCAGTATAAAAGTTGGAACCCTATGAAGTTGCTGATGTAATAGTGAAGGCCGTCTCATCAAGAGTAACTTCTTCCTTCTCTTCACCATACCTTTTCATTTATAGAACTTTAGAAGGAGAACCAGTCAGGAGGGGATGAGTGAGTTTATTCTGCAGTGTTTCCCGTGGTTCAGGTGCATGGATGCTACTGGCAGCAGAGGGTAGGGTGGTATGGATAGAGAGCCTATCTGGATGTATGTCAGTTCAGTGAAACATGTAACTGTGGATTTAGCATTAACTGGTCAGAATCTGTGACTCAGATATTTGAGCTCACCCTGTTGCAAACTTTGTTATTGTTGGTTTTTTTTCCGGTGTACTAACCTCTATTCTGTTCTTCTTGGTCCTTTACAAACATTGCCCTGGCTCCTAATGAATGTGCTCTAGAAAAAGTTGACACCTGAAACAATCAGGTCTCTGGAGCTGATTTACCTTTCTTGCTACAGTTCCTGGTAAAAGAGGACTGTCACCTTAGAGCAGCATATGACCCTATATGTGATGCAGATAAACTCTTTTCTACTGGGATTTTTTTTTTTTGAAGAAAGTGGGAGTATGCTCAATTATAGTGGTACAGAGTTCCCACAGCTGTTTCTTAGAGTTCTCTTGGAGTGGCTGTTTTATCAGGTAGGGTCACCCCTACTGCACAAGATGCTGCAGCTCTAAGTAGCCTACAAGAGTGGTTAACTTAGGCTTGGTATGGAAGGGAAGAGGATGAGTATGGGCTGTCTTGGGGAGTTTCTTTAAAGCCAATAATGATGTTAGTAAAAAAAAAGTTCTGGTTTGCTGTCCTTTTGACAGGACGTTTATTGACACTAGGGCTTCTTCAGGCTTTTGTTAATCTTAGTCCTTCCATGCTTCAAGAGTCTGGAATGATGATTCCTCAGGTGCTCTTGCTCAGTTATTTTCCGTAGCTCTTCCAGACCAACAGTAATCCTGGGTACCCCCTTTTAGCCTTTATGCTGTGTGACTACAGCTCTTTCCTTATGCCTCTGTCCCTGTATCTACATTACCTTCTTCCTTTTCTTCCTCCCTTATTGCTTTCCAACAGCTACTCCTTTTCTAGCTCGCTCTCTTCCAATCCTCTCCTGCTGAGGTGTGGGCAAACTGAACCTTAACTCATGTTTTAAGGTTGATGCTTCATATTTTTCTTGAAGCAAGATAGATAGTCTTAACAAGCAATATTTCTGAACCATGGAAGACATTCTTGGATTGTACGTGACTTGAACTCCCCTTCTTAAATAGCCCTAGACATAGTACTGTGGTCATGTAGCTAGACATCTATATTTTCTGTAACAAGTTCCAGAATCTTACCTAATTTTGCTATATACTTATTAATATGTCCTGTGGCACATAATGGTTGAAAAGGTATGCACATTGTGTGGCTTAAATACAGAGGGTGTTTAATTTCTGGTGTTGTGATATTGACTGTCTCTCACTTTCAGAAACCAGATGTCTTGACCACTGGTGCTGGGAACCCAGTAGGGGATAAGCTTAATATTCTGACAGTAGGGCCACGTGGGCCTCTTCTTGTTCAAGATGTCATTTTCACTGATGAGATGGCTCATTTTGACAGAGAGAGGATTCCTGAAAGAGTTGTGCATGCAAAAGGGGCAGGTATGTTTCCAAATGCGTACTTTTTTTTTTTCTGTGCGGAATTAGACTTCTAAAAGCTTTTGAGTTAATACATAGATTGTTACAGATAAATTGCATTATATTATCTATAATATAGTATTGTAGACTATAATAAATAATTATATACCAACAACAGTGAGAACAGGAGGTAAGGCCTAGTTTAAAAGAACTCGGTGCCAAAACTTGAAGCACTGAAAAACTGTTAAAAAAAAGTAGTTCTAGCCCTTGGAGTTTTCCTGTATTTGCTGTAATCTCTACTTCCTCTGTCTGTTCCTCCATAGTACCCCATTCCTCTGGAAGGCAAGACTTACCCATCTCTATTTTAATGTCTGTTTGCATGTTACTTGATGGAGGTTCTTGTCTTTGTCATCTGATACATCTGTCTGCCAAAGCACAATGACGGTCTAATATTAAATCTAAAAAACAAACACAACCCCCTCATTTTAAAATTTGTTACTGTTCTTAGTAGGGTAGTACTGGCAGCTCTGATTTTTGTTATGCGTTGCCCTAGAGGAAAAAAATATGGGACTGAATTTTATTATAATATGAATGTACCTGGGAAAAATTCCTCTGTGGGGGTGGGAAGAACTTTGTTGCTTCATCCAGCTTACAGGTGGACCAAAAAGTTCTGCAATACCTATCAGGATTAAAGAAATACTTGTCTTGCTCTGAGATAAGTATGCAAATCTTGGCAGAAGATCATCCAAAAAACTACTGTTTGTTATTTTGCAGAGTAGAAATGAGGTCTGTGTTGCTTCTGGGAACTGTTAACTATCAGTTAAGGAGGGAGAGTGAGTGCCATACAAATAGTAAATTTCATTTTGTGAAAATAAATTGAGTGTTTTAGTGCATAAGTATGAACTCTGTTTAAACCGGTGTATTTCCATGTTTCCTTCTGACTTAAAGTTGTATGTTGGATCATACTGGAATAACAGATACTCCATGAGTGAAAGAAAGGTATCTATATCTGATATTTTGAAATTACTTTTTTTCAGGAGCCTTTGGCTATTTTGAAGTCACTCATGATATTACTCAGTATTGTAAGGCAAAAGTGTTTGAACACATTGGAAAAAGAACTCCAATTGCTATACGATTCTCCACTGTTGGTAAGGCTCTAAAGTTGTTGTATGTTGTCTTACATAGTTACACTGATAACAATGTTTGCATTGTGGAGCGCTTACTGTACTTAGTGGTAGTTTGCCTTCTGCCAACCAATTCCTCTTCTGTGAATTCATTTAAATTGTAAGACCTTAAGCAGCTTCTGCATCTTTCTGCCAGAGCTTGCTGTAGACACTTTTCCCTCTGGAATGTGAGAGAAAGGAATAGTCTGAGCTATTTTTTGTTTTGATGGAAAGCTTGCCTTGTTTCTGCATGGATCATAAGCAGCACTTGCATATTCCAGTTTAACACCTGAAAATTAAATATGCCATAGGAATGTTTTGGGGGTGAATGTTTATTCTTCTTTGCCTGGTACTTATTTTGATAGCAATCTTCCATAAATAAATGTTTATTTATTAGAGCTGAGTACATAAACTAGCAAAATCCTAAATGTCGTTAGTTAAAACATGCATTATGATCAATATCTTGTCTGATAGGAAAATGGTCTTTCAAACCATATGTATTGCTACTTTATCTGTATTTAAAAGAAATCTTAATGAGCGTTCAGTTCTGGAAGTAGAACTGGAGAGAAAGTAGTAGTCCAACACAGCTCAAGGAGCTGCTGGTTTTGGCCTACTGGCTTTTCCCTGTGTCACCAAAACTTAAGGGGTCCTGGAATTTTCTACAGGGGAAAGACAAGCAGCTAGTTTGTTCTGCGGACTGTGTGTTGAAGTGGGTTGTTGCATCGTTACCTTTCCTTTCCCTGCTCTGTTTGAACATGTTTCTTCCTAGGTGTTCTGTAGTACACAATTGTTATTTATTTTTTTTTTTAATGAATGAGTGTCCTTGTTATTTCATCATGATGTTTAGCATTAGCAGTTCCTGAATACTTCTGAAACCCCTGTGCTCAGGTATTGTGTTAGGCACTTCTGGTATAAAGTTACTCATTGAAAGGACTGTTTTGGATAAAGCAGGAGGGGAATTAAGAGTTGCAACTCTTCTGTAACAAAATTCCTTTTTGATTAGGCACGCTGTTTAGATTGCTGCCTTCCAAATGACTGCTTTCACACTGGGATTTGATGCACAGAAACTAATGTATGTTTAGCTAATTCAGCCTTATAATCTCATGTTCTCTCTGTTAGCGATTAACACAAATTCCACTCTTAATTTGTTCAAGTGGATATACTTGGGTTTTCTTTCTTTTAACTGTGGCCCAAATATTTGGGTGGGTGTCTGTTCACACTTTGGAAACTTCCAGTGCCTGAAGTATTGTTGAAAATACGCCAAAAATTCCTTGGTATAGAAAAGACTTAAATTAATAACCCCTCCCTCTTTAGGATTTTGTGGCATAATCTCAAGTTCTATGTTTTTATGCTTACAATTTGTATGCATTTCCTGTCGTAACACTTCTGTATGTTCATGTCTTCAAGCTGGAGAATCTGGGTCAGCTGATACAGTTCGTGACCCTCGAGGCTTTGCGATGAAATTCTATACAGAAGAGGGTAATTGGGATCTTGTGGGAAATAATACTCCTATCTTCTTTATTCGGGATGCAATGCTGGTGAGTAAGCACAAAAGGTGAGGGTACTTTGTGAAAGAGTCCAAAAGTTTGTTCACATCTTGTTCTTGCTTCACTGAGAAGCAAAGGCTGCTGTTTTGACATGCTTAAACTTGGTTGGTTGTTAGATGGTCCAAACATTTTTTGACTTGAAAAGATGTTATTTAAAAAAAAAAAAAAGAGGAACTAATGCTTGATTACTCATACCACAAATAATGCATGTGTTTAGTTGTGTTTGCTAGTGCATATGCCACAGCAGAATAGCCAACAAGTAACTACATTGTTGTGTTTTTAACTTCAGATCTGATCAGTTTCGCCAGTGTTCAAATTAGCTGTTCAGCTCTGTACAGTTTAGTTTAATTCTGCACATATATTTTATAGTGTCTCTGTATTCATTTAGGAGTCAACACATTTCAGATATACCAATCTGAAAAGATTTACTTCTCAATTTATCCGTCACAAAATGAAAGTATTCTTTAGCTTTGAACAGCCTTTTTATCCTAATTGTAAGTGTTTGACTTTACCCTAATTTTATTGGTCTGTGAAGGAATTTGGTTATAGGAGGGGTAGGACAACTGAAGATTTTTTTCAGTGATCTTAGAACTTTGTCTCATCTTTCAAGTCTGTTCCTTTCACAGTTAAGTGTATTGAAAAAAACATTTGTCTTGTTTTGTACTAGGAGTGCTTAGTATACCCCATATAATTTGGAGGTGTTACAGAACTTTTTTTTTTTCCCCCCCTCCTTCCTTCCTCCTCCACTTCTGGACAAATTAGTTTCCATCCTTCATCCATAGCCAAAAGAGGAACCCTCAGACTCATTTAAGGGATCCAGACATGATGTGGGACTTCTGGAGTCTTCGCCCTGAGTCTTTGCATCAAGTAAGGTTCTCCTTTGACTTTATTTTGTATGATTAAGAAAATCATGTTATGACAGCATATATTTTTAACTATCTCTTTTCCATGTTTTATCTAGAAGTCTACATAATCTTCTAGGAACAGTAAATGTGAAAGGCCTCCAATAGCTTTTAAGGCTGTTAGTATGTCTGGTTTTGCCTTTCTTCTTTTAATACCTCTATAAAATCGGTGGGATTATCCTGTTTTCATAATCACACTTTATATAGGGATGAAGGGGAAGTTGCTTGGTTTTCTAATACTAAAGCCATGGAGATGCTGATGAACAGCAAACTATTAATGTTACCAACCATAAAACACTGGGAAAGTAATGCTGTCACATATAAGTTTATTTAAAGCTGTATATTGTGTAGCACATTAGATCAACTCCAAAAAGCATTAGGATTCACAGCGTGTTCTAATTATTCTGAAATGTATTTGTATCTAGGAATGTTATGCAAAAAAAAAAAGCTAATATAAAATTAAAAATGAACTTTTTTTTTTAAGAAAATGGGTTCATAGAGAAGCCTTCCAGTAATTACTAATTGGAAAAAGTAGTACCACAATCGTTGTTTGTGATCATAAACCTAAAGAAAAGCAGCATTTTGAATATATGTTTGCATGGTGGTATGCTTACTGCTTGAAGACTTTGAAGAACTAGTTGTTAAGGACTTCAGTTTTCAGATTTTTGTCTTTAGCCTGGAAGTAAAAATCTCATTTATCTTTGTAACTTAAATTATCCATGCTTACCTGCTCTGTGCTTATAGGGGAAATCAGAACATTATCACTAGATTAATGTCTTGTACTGCTCCAGATATTTCATGTGGGCATAAAACTTCATGTAGGTTTAATTCACAATTCTTCTTTGCTTTGGTTTTGCATAGTTTTATTTCCTTAACACTCTTACAACTTAATGTTAGAAATTCCTTGAGGAATTTCTAGTTTAAGATAGCTTCCAGTGGTGCAGATTAATGCAATAAACGAACTTTGTCTTGAATGGTCACTTTATCCTTGATCTGGTGAGTCCATTAATACTGTCTGACCTTTCTCTTTAGGTGTCTTTCTTGTTCAGTGATCGTGGTATTCCTGATGGTTATCGCCATATGAATGGATACGGATCACATACTTTTAAACTGGTTAATGCTAGCGGAAGAGCAGTTTATTGCAAATTCCATGTGAAGGTATTGATTTTTTTTTTTTCCAGTTATCTCTTGGAAGTATACATCGTATTGGATAAAAAACCAGTTTAAACTGATGGTCTGAAAATGTTCTGTGACTTTTCAAGTTTAATTCAGGAAAGACTTGGTGCGTAGACTTAGTCAAAAAGGTGTGTGTGGTTTTTCATATTGGTTGCATGCCTTTAACAAGTATGATGGACATCATTGTTCTTGCTATGACACAGTAGGTATTTATTAGACTATGAAGAACTCTTCTTTGGGGAACTGTCTTCGTTGTTGAACTCTGTTTACTTCTGTGGTGAGCTTGGAGCACCTAGCTCAGCTTGTTGCATTTCAGCCTCAAACCACTAAGTGTTTTGGGCGTGAAGCTGTGCAAGAACTTCCCTTGCTATCATTCAGTGCAGCCCTTTGGAATCATGTTTTATTCAGTGTGTGGTATGTTCCTGTTTCATGTTCAGTAGTTTGGATTCAACAGGTGCTTCTTCAGGTAGGAGTTCTCTCAGTCTGGATCTGGCTTCTGTTCCCATTTATCTTCTGGATGTGAGCTGCATTGATCTAGTATTTTTAAGATGGCCTCAGCTGTACACCAAAATATAAAGGCTCTGCAGCTGAAGCTCACAGAACCTCACAGAGCTTCCACACTTCTCTGAGAAAGCAGTCTCTAGCATATCTCACTTGAAAACAACTTCCCTTTGAAGTTTTAAAGGCAATACAGCTTCTTATCTCATTTGACTTTAGTGGAATCTACCTGTGAAACAAGACTTAGGAAACCCTTATGTTAAGCCAAGGGGGATTGTATAGCAGCTTTTAGCCTTCCAGTTGTCAAAAACTTATGAAAGTGAAATTTTAGTTAGTGCTAAAGATGTCACAGAAGTAGGGGTGGGTGGTGGGAAACTGAGATTCATGTAGAATCCAGAACTTTTAGCCCTGAGGGCTGCAACAGTTTTATCATTTTGTCAGCATGTGATCTGTGGGAGAAGGTGGGATGACGGGACAGCAAAGGAGCACTCTGTCCTGTAAGCGAAACCTCTTCCCTTGATGTGCTGTAGGGATCATGCCTTAATGTTTGATGTCTTATGTTCTGCAGTATAGCATTACGTATTTATTTCACTTTTATCAGAGAACTAATTTTTTTTCTGGAAGGCAGCTTTTGAATGTACTTTTATTCTGAACTCCAATTATTGGAGATGGGAAGATGGACAATCACATTATTGGATTCCAAGTCTTATTAAAGCATGTTCTTATTAATGTAATACTTATTTCTGTAATACTTTCTGCATGTCATAACTGGTGCTACTGCTTTTTTTTTGCTTTCAGACTGACCAGGGCATCAAAAATCTTCCTGTTGAAGAAGCAGGAAGATTGGCTTCTACTGATCCTGATTATGGAATACGTGATCTTTACAATGCCATTGCCAAGGGGGACTATCCATCGTGGTCTTTCTACATTCAAGTTATGACATTTGAAGAAGCAGAGAAGTTTCCATTTAATCCTTTTGATGTAACTAAGGTATCTCCAATACTGCTGTGAATATTCAATTTCAGCTAGTTTAAAGGTCATGAGATCAAAAGGTAGTGAATGCCAGAGCTGAGCTTACCTATTAAAGTGTAACAGTTTCCATGGAGTAGCACTGTTTTCTTACCAGACACTGGCAATAAAGTTAGTCTGTCCTTTTTATTCTTCCCTTCTATTTTTTTTAAGTGTGCTCTTTATTACATGCTCATGATGAGTCAGAAATTCTGGAGATGAAATTATATTGATATTATATCTGATGGTATTCTTCCTCAGTGAAACATGGATAGGGCTTGATTCCAGGCCTGTAGATTACAACTGCACTGCATTTCCAATGTATGATCTCGGATCATATAGTCACACCCTGAGCTTGCTAGTTTTAACTGTTGTTGATAACGTAGCTTCTGATTGTTGGTCTGATTTTTGTCAGACATCCAATTGCTCTTCTGAGGAATGGCTTGTTGAAAGATACTATCGTAGACTTTTTTTTTTTCCTCCCCCCTCTCATATTGCTCTCCCAAAATGTCTAAAGACTCTTAATTTGGAAGTACAGGCTAAGATGACAGAGAAGAGGCTAGCTAATCTGGTTGCATTTTGAAGTAGCTAGGAACAATCATGCTACCAGTGCCACCTATGATATTGCATACCTAGGCAGTTTTTCAAATGCCTGTGGGTATTTCATTTAAGTATTCAAGTGCTGAGATTATGCTGGGATGATGAAATAAGTTTCATTAATACTGTATTAATTGCAAAAGACTTCTTAAAATAAGACATTTCTCAAGATGTTTGTTAGCAAAAAACAAATTTCTTCAATACTGTATTTTCTAAATAAAGACTTCACTAGGCAGCATTACCTGATCTGTTATTTAAGATGAATAATACTGTAATAATATTGATTTTAATGTATGTGTGTTATGTCTTATAGATTTGGCCACATGGTGACTACCCTCTCATCCCTGTGGGAAAGCTTGTCTTGAACAGGAATCCTGTTAATTACTTTGCAGAGGTAGAACAAATGGCATACGATCCTAGCAACATGCCACCTGGTATTGAACCTAGCCCTGATAAAATGCTGCAGGTAAACTACAATGCATATAAGATCTTAGCTGAAGAGCATTATGTTTGTTTTGCTGTTTATGAAAGCATTCCTATTGCTGTCTGTGTAGCAGCAGCAAAATAACCTGACAGATAGAAAGTGACTGATTTTTGGTGGTTTTTAATGATCACTGTTTGATGTGCTCAACCAAAATTTAAATATAAAGAGAACAGGAAAGAACTAAAGGAATAGAAAAACTAGAATTTAGTGGATGTCTGCAACAACTGTCAAAGCTGATGGGGAAACCTTTCAGTCTGGCAAGAAGTACGGGATAAAACCATAGCAGCAATGCATACTTATTCACGCTTTTACAGTGTATCTTAAAATTATAAACTATGAGTGTGAGAGGTGGACTTCAAATGCTCTAAAATACTGATGTAACTAATCCCTGATAAAAACTGCAGGACTGTTCTTTAGAAGTAGTATCACATTTCTTACAGGTCAAGATACTTGATAAGACTGGGTGCAGTAGACTATACTGTCTGCAGAGTCATGGATGTTTGCATGTTATGCTTTTTCAGATTAAAACCAGATTGTTGTTTCAAATTACATCCATGGAAACAAGAAGGTATTTTGACAATTTTAACTGGATGAACTCTTGAAGTCATGCAGTTCTTCTGTTTTGTCTCTCTTTGCTCCCACGGACTTCGTGGTTAGAATTAGTCTGTTTTCTTGGCATCCAGATGTCACTAGAACTGCTTCAGAGTCAGTTCTATAAATAAATAAGGGATGACTGTATTTCAGATGTAATCAATTTTTAAATCTAAGGTTGAAAATAAGTAGGAAAATGTTATTTCTTAGTAGTATTTAGCAGCATTGTAGTAATTTTCATTTCTACATGTGTAACCATTTTCCTGCTTGAGAATAGGTTTAGCATTCTGAAGTTGGCAGGAAATACCCAAGCTGTGTAAATGCAGCTCAGGCTGCCATTCTTCACTGGTATTCCAGCAAAGCTACTTTGTGGCTGAGTGTCACTATGGACATAATTTGAAGTCAGTCAAGAATACATACACAAAGGCAGCAGTCTTCTCCATTTTGCTATTTAATGTATAATGCTTTGAATTGGGATATACAACTTAAGCAATCTCTTTCAGCAAGTAGTAGTTAATGTTTGTGGTAAATATTTTAGGGTCGTCTTTTTTCGTATCCTGACACTCATAGACACCGTCTGGGACCCAACTATCTGCAAATTCCTGTGAACTGCCCATTCAGAACTCGTGTGGCCAATTACCAGAGGGACGGACTGATGTGTATTTCTGACAACCAAGGTAGTAAGGAAAATATCTTAAATATAATGATACTTATACATGTACTGCAGAATTCTTTTCTGTTCACGGGGGATTTAAGATACTTGCTAAACAGATTGTGTTATTGGATATTTCTAACTTATGCTGTGAGAAGTGCTACTTTTTCTCCTCAACCATTCAGTGTCTCATGTGACCTTTTTCCCCCAACTCAAACTTATCACTGTATAACTTTCCGAGCTTTAGATTTTCCAGTCTATCTGTTTTTTTCCTTTTATGTGAAAACTGTTTCTTACCTCTCAAAGTTTGTCAACCTTTTAGTACCTTTCCCTATATCACTAGATACTTTTTGAGGTTAAATGACCTTTAAAGGTCCCTTCCAATGCAAAGTATTCTATGATTAATCGGCCTTGCCTGCAGTTGTTATAAATCCACCATGGGCTTTTTTCCGTAGAGTGCCCTAAAGTTGTCTGTGGCCTGTTCCTAATACTGTCTCTAACTTGGTGCTCACCAGCAATCAAAAAGTAATTCACATCAAATTATCAAAATGAATTCAAGATCTATTTTGTGACAGGTAATAACACATCTTAGAATCCATAATTGTGCATGTATAAAGTTGCATGCATTTCTGTTCCCTATCTGAATTACAAGGCAAGTAAAATTATTTTCAGAAAAGCAATTTCCATCCTCTGTTTTGATATCATGAGATCCTGTGTCAGTATAAATAGCCAACTTTGATTTTGACTAAGGTTTGCAGAGGCTAAGCTGTCAATTTATTATTTGCTCCCTTTCCTAATAACTTTATGAAAGTGTTGAATAGTACTAGTCCTCACACAGATCCTTGAGGAGGGTCTACCTGCTTAATTCTTCTTAATAAGAAAAGTGACCTTTTATTCCTCCATTTCCTGTGTTCTTGATATGATTTTAATTGATAAGATACTGACTTTTATCCTGTTACCGCCTGTTTGAGGGATCTTATTGAAAGCATTCTTAAATCTGAGCATGTTGTATTGCCTTTATCACTTTTATTTGTGTATCCACTGTATGTCTCTTGTCAGTCTTGTATAAGTGTTGAGAATCGACCCTTTGCTGTAAAACATAAGCATGCCCACGGAGATTACAGAATGTGTTCTCCACATTTGGTTTTTTGGTTTTTTTTTTTAAAGAGTTTAAAAGAAGCAACTTCATATACATACATACTTATACAACTTCAGCCCTGTGTGTAGTTGATAGTCTCTTAACTGTAAGTGTTTTTCAGTTCTATGTATGTAACTTCTACTTGCTACAAATAGACTCGTTTCTAATTTTGTAAACAATGGCAGGGGAAAAAGGGGATTTCCTTCATGGTTCCTGAAAAGGGGCATGTTTGTCATCTTTACATACTTGTTTAGTCTGGGTGTGTATCTCTTCTATTAATCCAGGAAAGCAGACTTTGTTTGGACAGGGGGTGGGGAGTTTAAAAGTGTTAAAACCAAATTAAGCTTAAGGTGTGTTGAAAAATTTACAAATAGGCCTTTAAGAGAACTGGGGTTTGCAGGAGAACAGTCAAATGAATTCAGTTCTGTCCCTAGCTTATGTTCCTTTAAAGACTTCTAGGCACGCTTGTTAAAGGGGACTTAATTGAAAAAGTTAAAAAATATTTCTTCTTTTTAAATAATTAATATGCCTGAGAAATGGTTTCACAGAAGTTCATCACTACCTCTTTGTTTCTACTTCTAGGCAAAAATCTAACAATAGAGATAGCCTAATTATCTTGGAGAAATCTGTATTTGCCTTCTTAAATTTAAAGACTGACTTTTGTATACTCAGTCCACTTTGTTAAACTGCTTTGCTTATCTGATTTCCAAGAGATTGCGAAAGGCAAGAGTATAAATGTCAAGACTAGAGCTTTCACTTTGCATCTGTTCAGCATGTTACATTCTGTCAATGTTTGCCCAATAGTGACTGTTTTACACCTGAGAGTAAACAAGGATGTACTTAAGCTATGCCTCGTGCCAGGAACACTGTATTCCTCTGGGCTATGAATTCTAATGCTTGCTGAGGAAGGAAAGGGAAGTATTTGGAAAACAAGCTGCTCCTGTCCAACAGCAGATAATATGTTTATTTTTGTGCAGTTCTGTAAGTTCATTATGTGTTTAAAATAAACCCCCTACATAGTTAAGATTAGTAGTACTTCAGATATGCAGATGAAAGTGGTTTTTTTTTTTTGTTTTTTTTTTATGCTGCCTTGGACTAAAACTTTGAATAAATTCCATGACTTTGCTCAGACAATGTTGTTGCGAGAGTGGCTAGACCTCTTTATTTCTGAAACAAATTTTTCCCACAAAGACCCGTTGAAATTCTGTTTGTAATAAGTGCTGTTAGGTACTGGCTTGAAGACACAGCTCCTGATGTTGCACTTTATGTGACAGAAAAATACTGACAACTGTTTCTAATAAAGTAAATCATAACTGGGTAATTGATTTAGGTTCCTGTAGACAAAAAACTTTATCTGTCTTCTGACTTAATCAGAGAGAGCTGGCATCTGATTGTTTTGGTTTGTTTTCAGGTGGTGCTCCAAACTATTATCCAAATAGTTTTACTGGTCCAGAAGATCAGCCCGTGTTAAAGGAGAGCCGCGTGTCTGTTTCAGGAGATGTGCAGCGCTTCAATAGTGCGAATGATGATAATGTGACTCAGGTATGACGTGTGAAAAGGTTTTATATGGTTTGTTTATTACATCAGATGAGTTTATAGGATGAGTCTAGAGAATATTAATAAGAATCATCCAAACATGGCTTGTCTCTGAAGTATCTCGGCTAAACTGAAGTTCAGTTCTCATGAGAGCTTGGAAGATCTCCATACGGCTTAATTTTGTGAATAAGTAAATCTTTGACAGGACAGTTAGTGAATTCTCGCAGACCTTTGCCATCTGTATTCTGAGCACAGATATCTAGAGGTTGTGACTCTGTCTTCTTGTGATTAGTGTCTGCAGATATGCAAACTAGAGTATGCATGTAATGTCACAATCATCAATTCCTGAACTGGACCCCAACAGCAGTATTTGTTTTCACTAATTCAATAAGCAACAATTATTTCAAGCTAGACATAGAAAGAGCTGTTAGCAGGTTTGTGTGTTTAAAAAAAAAAAAAAAAAAAAAAAAAAAAAAAAAAAAACACAAACAAAAAAAACCCCCACAACCCAACTTTACATACTGGTTGCCTTTAATTTTAAGTATTTTGAGTATTTTAAGTGCTGCCTGACTGGTAGGTGAAAGCTATTCTTTTTCAGTAATAATGAATCCTAGAAGTCTAGTAGGTATTATTGGCTGCTACAGGTAGAATGACTTGGTTTTAGGAATTTCAAAATAAAACTTTGTTTCTAATTATAAGGTGCGAGAATTCTATACCAAAGTGCTGAAGGAGGATGAACGCCAAAGGCTGTGTAAAAATATTGCTGATCACCTTAAAGATGCACAACTCTTCATTCAGAAGAGAGCTGTAAGTGGCCAATGTGGTTTTTAGCCTTTGCTCTTTATTCCAGGTTTTCTCGCAGTCTAGTAACTTTGTCAAAATGGCAATATGCTTATGGAAAGGAAGATCAGAAATTCCCTCTGTGAGAAGACAACTTCTAGGTTTTTCTTACGCAGAATTATCAGTACAGAACACTTACATATGTGCGTATTTACATAATAAAACACAAATAATGTGTAACATGTTTAAGTAACATCTTCCTCATGGGAAGAATGGGACTGATATTAAACATCAAAGATGTCATTATGTGTTTAGCTTGCTGTTTCAAAAATCAGGTGACTGCCAGTTTAAACAAGGAAAAGGCAGTGAGGGCCAGGGAGGGATTGGATCTTGATCCTTCCCAGTGGAACTCTGTTTAAATCGGGAAAGAGCTTTATGTGAGATAATAGAAATAGCATTTGAAGATGTTCATAGCTCCTTTCTGCCTGGTCAGAATTAAACTTTTCTAAAGGCATTTTTATCCTCTTTCTTCCTTATGATACATACTGCTTGTAGACCACAGAGCAGAAAATGTGTGAAAGAATGCATTTGAAGCGGAGGAAAAAATTCTTGTTGCCTTTTCTGTTCTGTGTTCCCGTTTAGGTCAAAAACTTCACTGATGTTCATCCTGACTATGGTGCCCGTATTCAGGCTTTGCTGGACAAATACAACGCTGACAGTGGGAAAAACGTACGCTAATGACTTCTGTAGTTGAATTTTGACTGTGAATTATCTTGGCTTCTTTTGTAAATCTAATGAAGTGAGAAAATTGGTCTTGATTCCCATTTGGTTTAAATGGCAGAAATCAGTGCATGTAGAATTACAAAATGAAGAAACATCACTCTAATTACATTTAATTAAATGTTGATTAGCCAGTGATGTACAATTACTTTGTTTCAGTTGGGTTTTTATAAGACTTCCAGAAGCTAACTGTATGATACACAATGTGTTTAGGTTGATTCTTCAGACCAAATGATTACCCTCTCCTTGTAATGGTAATGAAACATTTTGACAAGTATTCTGGGCTCAGTGCTTGCTACATAGAGTAATAAAATTGTTGCTTCTAGTACTTTTTTTTTTTTCTGAAGTTGCCCTACCTCCTTCTAGTGAAACTTGCTCTGAATATTTCTTTTTTTTTTTTTTTTTTTATTTTCAGGATGTAATTAGGACATACAGACAGTCCACTTCTCGTGTGTCTGCCAAAGAAAGATCCAACTTGTAAAGCGTGCTGCAGAGATTTACTCTGACTTTTGCATCCTTGTAACCATAGTATGATCTGATGGAGATGTTAATGAATGTAGCAGACTTCCGCACAACTACAGAAGTGTCTTTACAGGCTTGATTTATTAAGCTTTCAAGTGCCTGTATCTGTATTGGAAACTAGGTAACAGCTAACAATCCTAGTGCCTTTCAACACTAGTGCTTTACTGCTTGTTAACAACATACACTGTTTTTAAGGAAATTCATGATGAAAAATTTTCTTCATTTCTAGAAGCAAATGTAAATTTTATCATAACACTGTTTAATTTTTTTTATTGTAAAACTTACCTGGCTAAATCACACAATAGAACTTCTATAATGACACTGTGATTATCCTTATGGATAAACTTGTTCATGTTAAAAAGTTGATGTTGCTCAATATTTCTAATAAAATCGTTACTATATGTATTTGTAGATACTTCCTTTGAAATCCACTTATGGCCTTCCAGAAGTAAAATGATACGCCATAGTTAGAGTACAATGTTAGTTATGTCTCATTCCTTATGATCAAAATGAAGCTAACAAGAAAGTTTAATCTCAATATATGTAAATTTTATTCCCTATATGTATTAAGATGATCTTTGCTTACTAATGCTAGGTTGGCTATAACTGACCTAAGGGGAGATAGGAGAGGATATTTTCTTATTACCTACACTTTACAAGTAGATTGATTATATCTTACAGTTCTTTAGGGGTGAGAATTGTTCTCTCTAACCTGTAAGAACTTAAACAGAAAAGTATTAGTTTTCCAAGTGTCTGAGAAATAACCTCCAAATGCATGGAAATTTTTATCTTGGCCAAATTCAAGCTCAAGCACTTTCAAAATTATTCCTAATTGTTCCTGAAATTCTGTTGTTTTACTGCCATAATCCGTTATTGCTATCTATTGATCAAGTCAGAGCTAATTTTCAGAGTTAGACTTCAATTAAAGTGGCATGTTTGTATGAATGTGGATATCTATAGCTAGATGTATGTATAAAACCTGATCTTAGGCATATTGTAATGTTGCCTGGTATCTGTAGTTCAGTTAATTTGGTGCAAAAAATTTTGGAGCCCTTTGGATTGAAAGCGTTCCCTGTTACTATTCCTTAGATCCAAAGGAGTTTCTTTAGCTTAGTAATATTTTTTTTTTTTGTCTTCAGTCTTGGAGTCTAATCTCTAATCAGGTTTTACTAATTGGCACACAATGAAAGTGTGTGTATTTGAAACTTGGAGCAATAGTTAAGTGTTAATTTTGGAATTTCTGGACTTAGCTTGGTTGAATATGAGTAGTGGTCACCTAAGAAAGCACATTGTCAGTCAGCATCTGAATACAAGCACACAACAAAACCAAGACTCTTGTTTTACTAGGTGTGGTTTTGGCCCTTATATTTTTCCTTAGATAATTATTTGGAAAGCATTACCCAGTTATGGGGTAACTAGTGTCCAAGCTGACTGTTGGAGTTTTCAATAAAAATCTGTCATACCTGTTGCACATTGAAGTTAGGGCTGACAGACCAGAAGAGTTTCAGACGTGTGCTCAGTAAGATCAGGCAATTCACCATGAGTGTAAAGTCCTGGCAAGTTTTAATAACTACTTGGCCTGGTACTTGTTCCTCTTCCCTTGCCAAAGAGAAAGATCAGTGTATATGTGTGATCAGTCTAGATCTTAGCTGCACAGCATTAACCCCCATTTGAAATATTTGCTTTCTTTGTTTGCCTGCTGATACAGCCTCATTAGCATCTGGATTGGACAAAGCATGAAAGATGATAGAGAGGATTTCAGAGCCCAGCTACTAGCTCTTAACTCAAGCAAATGTTATACAAATTTCAAGTCATAGCAGGTTTGTTTTTTCAATATTTGGTGCACTTGGGGGTCTGTCTTGAATTGTATTTTGAAAAGGAGTATTTACTGATTTGGCGTATGAGCATGAATTGGCATTCCAAGGAGTGATGGCAGATAGATAAAGAAGAGTAGATACTAATTGCTGTTCCATTAAGTTGTAGAAAGCTGCTACTTCTCCAACTCATTTATCTACTAACCTATTGTGAAAAATTAGCTGTGATATAAATGCAGGAAAAGAATATAACTGATAGCCTACTCTGTCCTGGGATTCAGTTGGATTTTTACCTGATCAGGAAGGTGGGAGATGTGACACAAATGGGTGGGAATATTTCTTGCTGGAACATAGAATCCTAGTGAATTTTGGAAAAGAATAAGCAAGGCTTAATCTTCAATTTTGGTTTTGTCTGCTAAATGAATTATGTTGTCTTCCTCTTTTATTTCTGAAATAAAATCGAATTTAAAAATCTGTTGGCAATGCATGGTCTCTTCTCTGTGTGAATATTTTAGAATAGTTTATTTTAATCTAGGAAGTTCATACCTTCATCTGTGTTTTGGAAATTGTGCAGAAGCTGTTGGAGTTCTGGGTAACTGGTACCTATTTCAGAACTTTGTTATTTGGCCTGCACAGGCCCTGATTGCCAACAGGCGCCTTGGACTCATGGCCAAGCACTGAATTCTGCTAAGCTCTGATATATGAAATTACCTGTTGGGAACCTTCTCTTTCATTTCCTAAGCCTTCAGAAAAGGGAATGCTGCTCATGTCTGTGGTGCAGCAGTGCCTACGACTGTGTACCAGATGAAGGGGAAAAAGATGCTGTCTCACTTTACTGTGGGTTTTGCTGATGATCCTTGGCCTCTGTTTGCTGAAGAACCTTTTGTTGGCTTTGATCTAAAAACTTTCGTGGCAATTTACAGAATTGTCACAAGGTTATTTAGTTTTTCGTCACAGTTCACTCAAATTTTAGTGAAGGATGGTTCTTAATAGTTTAACAGAGTATGTAGAGTTGAAATACAACGCTTGAAGTGTCTCAAAGCTACCATACAGCCTTTCAAAAGGCTGTCAGAGATTTATGCTGCCATCTATATTACCCAAAGGTTCAATTCTGCTTTTCTTATTGCAGTTACTTCTTTTTTTTTTTCCCCCTGAAATTGTTACTTTGTTTCAGTATGGAACTGTGTGCCTCATGCTTTGTTGCACTTTGCAGGGTAACCTTTAGAAAACCGTGGATAAATAAACCTACTGACCATGTGGAGGAACGGGCACTGTGACATGACTTTGTGGAGGTTTTAATAGAGTGTTTAACATGGACAATTATTTTATTACCTTTGTCCAGGTGGCCTTTATCTGACCATGCCTGTAAGTGATTATCACTAATAAATTCTAGTGTAAGTTATACTAGTTTAGAGGTTACACTGAAATTTGGTTTGTGTCAAGTCGGGAAAAGGAAAAATCCAGCACTAGGGAATGAGGAAGAGAGAGGAAACATCTCGTGCAGTGATGTTGAGAAGACATAGAATGGGCTAGCTAGGTAGTATGTGCTTTCTGCAGCTACCTTTGTTTTGAAAATTCACAATTTAGTGTAGTTGTGCTTAAAAGACTGATCTATGCTCTGTGCTGCTAAACTGACCATGACAAGTAGTATAGAGTAAAACTCAGCTTTTTCAAAAGGCACTGAGAGTGTTGGGCAGCACTGGAAGAACAATAATGCTATTTCTTCAAATAAACAAGATGATAAATCCATTTACAGCTACTTACCGTGAGAATAAAAAGACCATTCACATGACACGACACAATTCCAATTGTGTTTTGACTTTGTGTTCTGCTCAAGTGAAGTCAAATATTCCTTTGGCAGGTTGTTGCAATGCAATTTTCAATTATGTGTAAAGAATTGCTCAATGTTTTCCTATTACTGTTTTATTTTAGATGCACATCTATAACAGTGGAGTTGGGAATGAATTTGAAACTTATGTTTTGGAAATTACTGCTTCTCTGGGAGTACTTCTCCTCATGGGCCCTTTCCCTTTATTCCTAGGTTGTTTTCCCTTTTCCAAAATGTTTGGACTTGAATAGCCAAAAGCAGCGGATCTTGGAGGACATTTGTTGAGGTGGGCTGTGCTGGGAGGTGAGTAAGTGTATGGAGTTGCTAAATCTCCAGGGGAAAAAGGGCAAGGTAGTTTTGGATCAGATAGTTACTATTTTATGTTGGAAAAGTAAGCCCTGAATTCCTTTCTTGAACCTAGCTACCTCATCGCCTGCTGAAAGCCATTGAAGGAAATTGTCTACAAAGCAGCGTGTAGGTGCCCATGACTTTGGTGTCCATTAAATACATTATTTGGCAAATCAACAAGGTTTAATACACCTGTTACTTGTATTGGAGGAAAAGGCTATTTTGTATCTCCAAATGGAGAACATACATGAATTCTCAAGCAGGCAGGTGAGTCACGGGTTTCTCACAAAATTACATCCAAGCAAGAGTCTTTCCTAATACCACAGGAGGAGGTGGTTGCGGTCTATGAAGGTTTAAGCCTACCTTAAGCCTGAGAACCCACATTTCATGTCTGAGTGTCCGAGTACATTTTTACTTGAGGCTCCATGTCTGAGTGCCTGAATACATTTTTACTTGAGGCTCCATTATTCTTTCTTTTTAAACAGTTTCTTTTGGTTCCTTTGCAAGTTAAATGCTAATTGGGTGAGGAGGAGTGTCAAGGAATGTCTGCTTTCTTACTGAGTTAAAGTTATGGGTATGAGTTCATGATCCTAATTAAGTGACTATTGATCAGCACTGTGAACAGCATAGTAGATGCACACTAGAGATGAACTTTACCTACCTGTTTTACAATTTGCTATAGTAAGTGTCAGGCTTCATGATAAATACTAGTTTTAAGACCTTAAAGGGCTTAATCTGAAGGTTGCCATATGCACGTAGCTTGGGACTTCACTTAGTAGGTTAAGCCTTCTTAAAAAATAGCTGTGTTAAGAGCATGCCTTTTGACATCACAGATGACAGTTTCAAATAATGTCTGAACACTTAGTCATGAAAACAATGTTTTCTGTGTCGTGAGAGAGCTTTGTAGCCTACTTTGCCTGGATGTAATTTAATTCTAATCTAATTTAATAAGATTTTAACTGAAGTTTATAAAGAGTAACCACCATCATTTTGCAAAGAAAGGAGTTTCTTCCCCCTTCTTCCCCCCTTGGTTGTTTTTTTTTTTTTCCATCATTCTTTCTCCAGTTGTTCACAGTCTTTGTTCTGCCTGTGGGCTGGTTCCTGGCTTGTGTCCTTCCCTTTCTTCTGTCTGAGGGGACGGTGATGATGTGACTATTTCCCAGCTGTAAATGAGCAGGTACTGAGGGGTCTCATTTGGGTATGCACATGCACACACGCTGCACGGTCTGGTGTTCTGGCACGCAATACAAGTTGGAACTCACCGTTTAGCCTTCATGTGCTAACCTGCTTCACTCTGTAGGTTTTTAAATGCAGTGATACCCTTGCCTTAAGTCAAACCTTTCTGTACCTCAGCACAGGGAACACATTGACCTCTTGGAGAGGGATCAGAGGAGGGACACAAATAATCTGAGGGATGGAACATGTCTCCTGTGAGGACAGGCTGAAAGAGTTGGGGATACTTAGCCTGGAGCAGAGAAGGCTCCGGGGAGACCTGATTGCAGCCTTTTGGTACTTAAAAGGGGCTTATAAGATGATGGGGATAGACTTTTTAGTCAGGCCTGTAGCAATAGCACAAGGGGAAATGGTTTTAAACTGCAAGAGGGTAGAATCAGAGTAAATATGACGAAGAAACGTGTTGCAATGAAGGTTGTGAAACGCTGGAACAGGTTTCCCAGAGAGGTGGGAAATGCCCCATCCCCGGAAACATTTAAGGTCATGTTGGATGGAGCTCTGAGCAACCTCCTCTGGTTGAAGATGTCCCTGTGTGCTGTGGGGGGTTGGACTGGATGGCCTCTAAAGGTCCCTTCCAACCCAAACCACAGTCTACAATTTTTTTTCATATCTAATTTTGTTTGCTGTGGGGCTTGGGGCCTCAAACCAGTACTGCAGAAGTGGATTAGTCCAGTGATATGTTGCATGTTCTTACATCTTGTTGATAGCAAATTAAGTGAAAATGTGCAGCACATGGTAAAGCTTGACCCTTCCTCCCAGGTAGCATTGCAGAACTTAATCTGAACTGATGTTTGGGCTTGCAAGTGTGAGATCGTGGCACAGCTCATGACATGCAAAGCTGGACTCGAGCATAGCCTTGACTCAACTGACATTGTGGATGTAACTTAAGCACTTGCATAAGGCCATTTTGGACAGAAGTGGGAAAAGAACTAAGGCACTAGTCTGATTGTAAATGAAATAAATCTGGCAAAGTTGCCTTTATGGTTTGTCTGTCAGTAATTGCTAGATTCCCACTTAGTTCTTGAATCCAGACTAAGAGCTAAACACCTTGATAATCTGTGCTGCACCATCATCTCACAAAATAGCTGTTTAAGGTACCTGCGAGGCATCTGTCACATTCAGAGAAAGCTCTTCTGTCCCATTAAGAAGGTATCAATGTACCATTGTGAAAACCTCACACGTGAGCAGTTCTGAGGTCCTCTTCCAGTTCAGGGTGACTTCTGAATTTTGGGGATGGGGAATTTAGGCTGAAGATTCCTGAAAAAGCCCTGTGTTTGCAAAAGGTTGTAAAGGCTATAGACAGTGAGGCAGTGATTTAATAATAATAAGTGGAGCAGCTTGATACTCAGTTCACTGGTAATGATGATCCTTTTACAGCCTGGGTTGCTGTGGAGAGCCTGTATGATTTAGTTGTGTGATAAAAGCTTGAACTTTGTCCTGGTGGGGTTCCACCCAAAGTCAAACTTTGACTCCAGTGCGGCTGGAAATCCCACTGCATTGCAGTCTGAGAGTAAACAGGCCCTCAGGAGCGGCGCTGATATTTATTTTCAGGTCACACACTACAGCTTGGTAAACTGCTAGTTGTACTTTTTTAATTTAAAAAAATATATACATTTTTGCATCCTGCTTACCAGAGCAAAGTAGCTGGATCAAGGAGGTCTAGTACTGTTACATGATTAATGGTGACATTTTTCAGCCTAGAAGTTGCAGCCTGACCTGTTTCATTAAATGATGATACATTGCTCTTTACGTTGAAAGAAAAAAGTAGACACCGGTTACTTTGAGGTTGGGTTTTTTCCCAGAAGAACTTGCAGACAATGTCCTCAAAGTTTCTTGAAAACCTCAGAAATGTTCACCTCAACCTTAGTCCATCTCCCTCAAATCATGACAAGATTATAAAAGGCGTTTTGCTTGGTTGCTGTAATCAGAGTTAGA